CCTATAATTTAGGGATCTGATTTTTCCACTCCTCTTTTGTTCGCTTACACTCTATTTGTTGGAAATTGTATGTTCTCACTCCTCTTTTGTCCACTTACACTCCCTGGTTGGAAATTGTATGTTATAGTAAAAATTATTTTAAACAAATAAAAGGAAATATAAGTGGACAAAAAAGGAGTGAGAAAATCACTACCCATAATTTACTCTAAATTGATATAATCTATCGGGAGCGAATTCTGTCTTAGGTTATTTGCATAAACCAATTTCATCATTTGGATGAGGGAAATAACCTTTTGATTTTGACAAAAGTCAAAATTTCTAAATTGACGTGAACCAATTCTCGTATTTGGATAAATAAAAAACATAGAAATTTAGAAATTCTGCTTGGAAAAAAAAATGGAATTTGGAAGTCATAAATTCAAACTTTAAATTATGTCTAAAAGTCATTATTTCTAAAATTGTAAGAGAGATTAAGTTTTTAAAAACGATAGCTTTACAAATAAAGGTTAAATTTCGTATTTTAAACCTGTCACCCAAACAAGAAACTTCACAAAATCTTGAACATTAATTTCCGTCATTTTAAATTCTTTTGTACTTTTAAATTTCCTCATTTAGATGAATTTAGGAAAAAAATTGCATGACTGCATTTAGGAAAAGATTAACCCACTAAAAGTCCAATCCGAAATCTGAAAGATATGCTGTCCTTTCAATGACTTTTATTACTTGTTTGTGTTTTTTTTATATTTATTTATACATCACAAAATCTTAAAGTCCTCCATATATAGTGATCTATGCTCACTCTTTTCATATCCACAGGTTTTTGACACTGAGGTGGCAAAAACGTAGCCTTTACAAGAACATCTATAAAGCCAACCACACACATGATGATCAATTAATTGATCATAAATCTAGAGTGGTCATTTCCCTCCTCCAATTTAATGATACCGACTCTATTTCTAATATTTTTCTCAACGATGCCCTTCTTTTTTCTTTTTCCTTTTTTACACGTCTTGCACGACGGTTTCTTGTTTTTGTCATGAAAGTGGAAACTTGTAACCCTCGTCGGTTCAAGCTTTTTCCATTCTGCGTGTCCACAACAAGACTCTTTCTGTGTCATTCGTTGAATGACGTGATAACTGCTGCAATCAAATAAAGTGTAGGCTCTCATTGATTGCCCATTGCTTTCTTGTTACAGTGCATGCATATTATTTTTCTTCCAATTCAACTGTTCACTAATTATATTATTTTTCTATACGGCTCTCATTCATTGGCCCTATATTATATAGTTAATTATGAAGTAATGGTTTCCACACTCTTCGAAGGTTTCTGTTTGAAGGCTATGTAAAATATTTCTTTATTTATTCTTCTTTACATTTTGGTAATAGTTAGTTCCCATAATTAAGGTGTGAATCATGTTTTAGTTCAAGTATTCCCATAATTAAAGTGTGAATCATGTTTTAATTCAAGTATTTTTATGAACGCATAGCTAACCCTAATTTGAAATTTGCATCTTATGCCTAAGTTGTTCTAGTTTGCATTCACACGTTTTATGTGGTCCGGGAAAAAAAGTGGTCCAGTAATTATTTTACCCCTTTTTTTTCTTTTTTTCTTTTTGGCTATAAATATGGTCACTTGGGGATTCTGGTTTTTGCATGCATGTGAGTCTTCAAGCTCTCAGTCTCATTTACTCTCAGCTAGCCCCTCTCATTGAATCCTCGCTCTTTTTCTCACTACGCACACCATGTCTGGAACTCAAGCAACTACACTACTGCTTACTCAAAGTGAAAACCCTTGTTTTAAGTCCTCAAAAAGTGTTTCAAGTACCAACGGCAGCATAAACTGCATTTCAGGACGTGACCATGAATCATGTCATGTTCCAAATCCAATCATTGACTACTCTATGCTCATCTCCAATGATTGTCTCAAAAGGTCTCAAGCTATCAATGACCTCAATCAAGCTTGCCTCAACTACGGCTTCTTCGCAGTATCCACTTCTTCCTCCTTCCATTTGTCTCTATTTTCACTCCACTTAAATTGCCAACTAAACACGTTTTAGACCATGTTAACTGATAACATGATACCTCAAGTTTATATACACTTATTACGTAAACAAACTATACGTATATGTGTGCACACACATAGAGCTTCAATTGGAGGATCTCTCAAATAAGTATATTAAGGGACACTTTGTAGCGCACATTATACGTTGTATTTCAATGATCCGAACCGTCTATTTCTTGAAACACCATGTTTATCTATTTTTTTTGTCAAAACTAGATGTCTTAATGATTTTCAATTTACCTGAATTGTTTGCAAGGATGATCACTGAATGATGACTTAAAAAATAGACGGTTTGATATTGTTGAAGTAAAGTTCGTATCGGACCACACAATGTATCCCTCAAATAATTTTTTTTAGGGATCTCTCAATAGAATATGACTAATATATAGGAGCTTCAATTGATGAATATCTCGAATAAGTATTTGTGGGGCACCCTTTTAGTGCCCACTCCACATTTTATTTCAACTATTGGAACCTTTAATATTTTAGGTATTCCACCAAATATTACATCTAAAAAATTTCACTTCAATCCAAAGTCATTTAATTATTTAATTAAATTGTTATTATGTTAGTGTTTTATTAAAACACCATGTTGGTCCTTTTTTTGCTAGTCACAAATAGAAGTCTTAATGATTTTTATTTTATCCATTATTTATTTATTTATTTATTATTATTATTATTGCAAGAATGACCTTTGAATGATGACTTCAAAGGAGACCGTTTGATAAATAATTGGTGCAAAATTCATATTGGACTCTTTATGGTATTGCTCAAATAAAATTATTTGAGTGATCCCTCAATATAATGGAAATGTATACAGAGATCTTCAATTAATGAATCCCTCAAATACGAGGGACACCTTTGTAAAGCCCACTTCACACTGTATTTTAATGTTCGAACTGTCTATTTTTTAGGTGATCTCTCAAATATTATTTTTGAAAAAAATCACTTGAATAAGAAACCATTTAACAGAAACCACGCAATTAAATGGTTGTTATTTTTTGCATAGGAGAAAATTTGTATAGCAATTCTTCTCATTCGGATGTCCGCACGTTATTACCATGCGGACGCCATTTAGCTAAAAAGCCCTAGGTGTTTCTTGATAAAAATGAATATATATTGCATTGGAAGAATGAGTCTGATTAACCATTTGGAATGTTTAATATCTCTTTCTGATGTTTGAGTCACCTTGATGATTTTGTAGGTGACAAATCATGGGATCCCAGATAGCCTGATTGGGAGTGTTATGAATTGGCTTTCCAAATTTTTTAATCAAAGTGATGAGGAGAAGCGAAGGTATGATACGAATGATCCAACGGATAGGATCAGATTCAGGTGGGGCGGCAGAACCCAAAGAGAGCTTCTCCACATGAGGGCACATCCCACCTTCCATTGCCCAGCAGAGCCTGCCGATTCCGTGTAAACCTGCTTGTATCAAACGCATGCATTCATTCCCTTTCACACAAAGAAGCCACACACACACGTATTTTCTTACTTGTTATAATGTTGGCAGGGTTTTAACAGAGTATTGTGAGAGAATGCGAGAGATGGGAATGCAATTACTTAGAGGGATTTCAAAATCTCTAGGGCTTGAAGAATGCTACATAGAAAACAAAATGAAGCTGGAATCGGGCTACAACGTTTTTGGACCAAATTACTATCCAGCACTGTCGCAGTCCTCGGATGATAAGAATCAGATTGGCCAATTCCCTCATCGAGACCCTGGTTTACTTGTCCTCCTTGCACAAAACGTCGGTGGGGGGCTTCAGATAGAACATCAGAAGAAGTGGCTCAATGCAGATTTTCCTCCTACTTCCATTTTTGTCATTGTTGCCGACCATATAGAGGTGCGTTTAAGATTCTCAAATTTTTAATTACTCTCCATGAAAACTAATAACGTATGATTGGATTAGGCTAAACACATAGATCAATTAGCTCCCCCACGTATGTACTTCCCCCATGTTAAGATTAGGGTATCTAAGTCAATTGGCTTTGAGTTTTGAGAGGCTAATCATATTTTTATATTATAATGTACAGTTTTAAATACTCAACTTTGTGGGTTTTATATTCTCAACTCAACACATGATCAACTTGAAGGAAGTTGAGGTTCCACCCCAAAACCAATTGGCAATTGGGAGAGTAGCCCAACTCCTTATAAACCCAGACTAAGTCTCTTAAATTTTCAATGTGGGACAAATACTCTCAACACGCCCCCGCACGTGTGGCAAACTTTCAAGCCTAACACGTGGACAACACATATTTGGTGGTTTGGGAGCACGTGTGGCTATTGGGCCCAACACATGAAGCCTTCATAAGAAAAAATGTTCGAATAGGTTACAAGTTCGAATTGCCCCGTCCCAATTCATAAGAAAAAATGTTCTCAACACATGAGATGTGTACGATCTGTAATATCACTAGCCTCATCTCATATGAAACGATCGATTGGTTCATGAAACAACTTCCATTATTGCCTTAACCATAGCTACTATATATTAGTTTTATTTATTAAAACGTTTGTGACATATTTTCTCCTGAGTTAATTGGTCTGAGAACCTTTTGGGTTATACACATGATGCATGGCAGATTCTTACCAATGGAAAATACAAGAGCTTGTTGCATCGGGTGGCCTTAAACAGCGAAGTGGAAAGGATGAGTTTACCCTTCTTTTTTGGGCCATCGTTGGACGTAACTGTGAAGCCTGAACCAGAGTTTGTGGACGACCACAACCCACCCTCTTATCGTCAAATGACTTACAAAGCATACTTGGAATCCAATGACCACCATGTGATTGAAGCGAGAGCAAACCTGAATCAGATTCGACTCTGAAACTTCAAATTAATAGCTGCTTATATTTAAGAATAATTGGATGGTAATTCCATTCAAAAATATATATTTACTTGTCATGTATTATGATTCAGACTCTCTTGTTAGTCTATAATATGTGTGGTACTCTTTCTTACCTTGAGGTTTGTCCTTCAGGTGGGTTTTAATGAGGCTATTGTTTCGTGTTGCTCTATGTATGCTACCTTAGTTATATGAATGAAATTATTTTTCGAGCTAGCCATACTTCTCAGTGACATGAGGAGGGTTGGGAAATACAAATAAAAACAAAAGTCCATAGGAGAACGTAACGATGTTGGTTCAATATTTTCTGATGACGTATCCAGAACTACTATGATAAGGATTTATGTTTGCTTGTAATGGTGTTGTGCGCCTTTTTCCTATTTCAAATAAGACCACCAAAACCAAAATAAGAGTTTAAGGGCTTGTTTG